ATTCATAATTTTAAAAATAGATATGATAGGGAAATGGGACCAGAGTCATTGCTGTAAACAACCGATGCTCGAAAGGCAGGATCCAAGAGTCAATGCTCGATCCTGCAGACACAAATAGGTGAATACAAATAGGCAAGTACACACACAAACTAAATCCAAAAGGTTAAAGAACCAATGCTTACTGTATAGTTTTTATTAACAAATATAGCTACGGGATCACCATAGCCCGTGCTACTTGGAACTTTTTGTTCCAAGTAGCGAATCTTAAACAACAACAAATATAGATACATCTGCATTTACATAGCCACTGTTAACTATATGAAATGATACATGGAGGGAGGGAAGGGGGGGGGGGTGTCGAGAAATTAAGAAATCGCCATCTCGCAGGATGGTTAGTCATACAGGCGATAAGTATCCTCAAACTACCGGTAAACTGGTAAACTATGGCTGCATTATGAGGATATCCACACCAGAGTGGATAAAGTCATTGCAAAGCTCCAGGTACCTCATGCCAACGGGTCTGAAGGGTCTAATATAACTGGGCATTCGGTGATGTAGTGTGGGAGATCATGCCGCAGTTCCTGCTCACAGAGTTTGCACCTGGAGTGCTCAGGATTGGGAGATCCGTCACCTGTAGCCACCTGCTAAAGGTAACGGCAGCCACCTGCCACAGGTAACGGTAGCCACCTGCCACAGGTAACGGTAGCCACCTGCCACAGGTAACGGTAGCCACCTGCCACAGGTAACGGTAGCCACCTGCCGCAGGTAACGGTAGCCATCTGCCACAGGTAACGGTAGCCACAGGTAACGGTAGCCACCTGCCACAGGTAACGGTAGCCACCTGCCGCAGGTAACGGTAGCCACCTGCCACAGGTAACGGTAGCCACCTGCCACAGGTAACGGTAGCCACCTGCAACAGGTAACGGTAGCCACCTGCCACAGGTAACGGTAGCCACCTGCCACAGGTAACGGTAGCCACCTGCAACAGGTAACGGTAGCCACCTGCCACAGGTAACGGTAGCCACCTGCCACAGGTAACGGTAGCCACCTGCCACAGGTAACGGTAGCCACCTGCAACAGGTAACGGTAGCCACCTGCCACAGGTAACGGTAGCCACCTGCCACAGGTAACGGTAGCCACCTGCAACAGGTAACGGTAGCCACCTGCCACAGGTAACGGTAGCCACCTGCAACAGGTAACGGTAGCCACCTGCCACAGGTAACGGTAGCCACCTGCCACAGGTAACGGTAGCCATCTGCCACAGGTAACGGTAGCCACCTGCCACAGGTGACGGTAGCCACCTGCCACAGGTGACGGTAGCCACCTGCCATAGGTGACGGTAGCCACCTGCCACAGGTAACAGTAGCCACCTGCAACAGGTAACGGTAGCCACCTGCCACAGGTAACGGTAGCCACCTGCCACAGGTAACGGTAGCCACCTGCCACAGGTAACGGTAGCCACCTGCAACAGGTAACGGTAGCCACCTGCCACAGGTAACGGTAGCCACCTGCCACAGGTAACGGTAGCCACCTGCCACAGGTAACAGTAGCCACCTGCAACAGGTAACGGTAGCCACCTGCCACAGGTAACAGTAGCCACCTGCCACAGGTAACGGTAGCCACCTGCCACAGGTAACAGTAGCCACCTGCAACAGGTAACGGTAGCCACCTGCCACAGGTAACAGTAGCCACCTGCCACAGGTAACGGTAGCCACCTGCCACAGGTAACAGTAGCCACCTGCCACAGGTAACGGTAGCCACCTGCCACAGGTAACGGTAACCCAACCTGATCCTGGTAACCACTGTGTCGCACAGTCGGGTGCACAGTTTGTGCTGCCCATAAACGCATGTTTCAGATCTAAACAAATCGTAACTGTTTAAACAGATGCAACAGCTACGAACCGTTGCAACAGATGCCAAACTGTTGCAAATCACAGAACCCAACAGGGTGACCTAACGGAAGTACTTGAACCAAAGAATGAAAGAGGCATATATATAGATATATGCGCCATATATATATAAATATATATATATATATATATATATATATATATATATATATATATATATATATATATATATATATATATATATATATATATATATATATTGAATATGACTGAAAAGGTAAGATTAATAATTCTAACACGAATCTTCTCAATATTTCTCATGTTTTTCTTCACTGTCGGTGGTAATAAAAATAACAATTCTCCGAAATTAATTTTTTAATTGTCTGACGCCTGAACGCGTTTCGTAATTCGTATTACATTTTCAAAGACTTAATTTACACACAAATTCTTCGTACTTATACTCTATTGGATGAGGTGATATGGTACAAAAGTTGTGGGTGAGGTGACAAACACAAGACAGAACACGAAACAATGGATATTAATTGGATAAATGAACATATGAATGGAAGTAACTGCAGAAGGTCTATTGGCCCATACTTCCTCTTGCTGCTTCCATATTGGTTCGGGGTCTTGTAGTAGGTAGAATATAGTTGTACATTAATTGGCTGTTGATTGCTGGTGTTGACTTTTTGATGTGTAGTGCCTCGCTGATGTCAAGCCGCCTGCTATCGCCGTACCTATCGATGATTTCTGTGTTGTTTGTTAAGATTTCTCTGGTGATGGTCTGGTTGTGAGAAGAGATTATTTGTTCCTTGATGGAGCCCTGTTGCTTATGCATTGTTAGTCGCCTAGAAAGAGACGTTGTTGTCTAGCCTATATACTGAGTTCTTTGGGGCTTACAGTCCCCAAGTGGGCATTTAAAGGCATAGACGACGTTGGTCTCCTTCAAAGCGTTCTGCTTGGTGTCTGGCGAGTTTTTCATGAGTAGATTGGCCGTATTTTTGGTTTTATAATAAATTATCAATTGTATTTTCTGACTTTTGTCTGTAGGGATAACGTTCCTATCAACAATATCTTTCAGGACCCTTTCCTCCGTTTTATGAGCTGTGGAAAAGAAGTTCCTGTAAAATAGTCTAATAGGGGGTACAGGTGTTGTGTTGGTTGACTCTTCAGAAGTTGCATGTCCTTTTACCTTTCTTTTTATGATGTCTTCAACGAAACCAACGCTTACGTCGACCGTGCTCTAAGCCACAGCTCAGGATGGAAAGAAGTTGATGAAGAACTCTGTAGGGTAAGGCAAGTCCTAGTCAACAACGGCTTCTCTAACGTAGTTTCGTAGCGGCAGTGGCGGCGGTGGTGGCAGTGGTGGTGGTGGTGGTGGTGGTAGCGGTGGTGGCAGTGGCAGCGGTGGTAGCGGCAGTGGTGGTGGTGATAGCGGCAGTGGCAGCGGTGGTGGCAGTGGCAACGGTGGTGGCAGCGGTGGCAGCGGTGGTGGTGGTAGCGGCAGTGGCAGCGGTGGTAGCGTCAGTGGTGGCAGCGGTGGCAGCGGTGGTGGCAGCGGTGGTGGTGGTGGCAGTGGTGGTGGTGGTAGCGGCAGTGGTGGTGGTGGCAGCGGTGGTGGCAGCGGTGGTGGCAGCGGTGGCAGCGGTGGCAGCGGTGGTGGCAGTGGCAGCGGTGGTGGCAGTGACAGTGGTGGTAGCGGCAGTGGTGGCAGTGGTGGTGGTGGCAGCGGTGGTGGCAGCGGTGGTGGCAGCGGTGGTGGCAGTGGTGGTGGTGGCAGCGGTGGTGGCAGCGGTGGTGGCAGCGGTGGCAGCGGTGGTGGCAGTGGCAGCGGTGGTGGCAGTGACAGTGGTGGTAGCGGCAGTGGTGGTGGCAGCGGTGGTGGCAGCGGTGGTGGCAGTGGCAGCGGTGGTGGCAGTGGCAGCGGTGGTGGCAGCGGTGGTGGTGGTAGCGGCAGTGGCAGCGGTGGTAGCGTCAGTGGTGGCAGCGGTGGCAGCGGTGGTGGCAGTGGCAGCGGTGGTGGCAGTGGCAGCGGTGGTGGCAGTGGCAGCGGTGGTGGCAGCGGTGGTGGCAGCGGTGGTGGTGGTAGCGGTGGTGGTGGTAGCGGTGGTGGCAGCAGTGGTGGTGGTAGCGGCAGTGGCAGCGGTGGTGGCAGTGGTGGTGATAGCGGCAGTGGCAGCGGTGGTGGCAGTGGCAGCGGTGGTGGCAGTGGCAGCGGTGGTGGTGGTGGTGGCAGCGGTAGTGGTGGTAGCGGCAGTGGCAGTGGTGGTGGTGGTGGTGGCAGCGGTGGTGGTAGCGGTGGTGGTGGCAGCGGTGGTGGTGGTGACAGCGGTGGTAGCGGCAGTGGCGGCGGTAGCAGCGGTGGTGGTAGCGGTGGTGGTGGCAGCGGTGGTGGTGGTGACAGCGGTGGTAGCGGCAGTGGCGGTGGTGGCAGCGGTGGTGGCAGCGGTGGTGGTAGCGGTGGTGGTGGCAGCGGTGGTGGTAGCAGTGGTGGTAGCGGTGGTGGTGGTAGCGGCAGTGGCAGCGGTGGTGGCAGCGGTGGCAGCGGTGGTGGTGGTAGTGGTGGTGGTGGTGGCAGCGGTGGTGGCAGCGGTGGTGGTGGTGGTGGCAGCGGTGGTGGTAGCGGTGGTGGTGGCAGCGGTGGTGGTGGTGGTGGCAGCGGTGGTGGTAGCGGTGGTGGTGGTGGCAGCGGTGGTGGCAGCGGTGGTGGTGGCAACGGTGGCGGTGGTGGCAGTGACAGCAGCGGTGGTGGTGGTGGTGGTAGCGGTGGTGGCAGCGGTGGTGGTGGTGGTGGCAGCGGTGGTGGTAGCGGTGGTGGTGGTGGCAGCGGTGGTGGTAGCGGCGGTGGTGGCAGTGACAGCAGCGGTGGTGGTGGTGGTGGTAGCGGTGGTGGCAGCGGTGGTGGTAGCGGTGGTGGTAGCGGTGGTGGTGGCAGCGGTGGTAGCGGCAGTGGCGGCGGTGGCGGTGGTAGTGGCAGCGGTGGTGGCAGCGGTGGTAGCGGCGGTGGCGGCGGTGGCAGCGGTGGCGGTGGTAGTGGCAGTGGCAGCGGTGGTGGTAGCGGTGGTGGTGGCAGCGGTGGTAGCGGCGGTGGCAGCGGTGGCGGTGGCAGTGGCAGCGGTGGTGGTAGCGGCAGTAGCGGCAGTGGGGGCGATGGTAGCGGCGGTGGCAGCGGTGGCGGTGGTAGCGGCAGTGGCAGCGGTGGTGGTAGCGGCAGTAGCGGCGGTGGCAGCGGTGGCGGTGGTAGCGGCAGTAGCGGCGGTGGCGGCGCCGACGGCGGCAGTAGCGGTGACAAGAGTTAACGCCGGTGAGCCAGATGGCGCCAGGAGTGACCAGCAGTTCCATCACCGCCAATCATCACCAATCACCACCGCCAATCATCACCAATCACCACAGCACTACCACCGCCAATCATCACCAATCACCAGTATGGATCACCAAGCGTAAATCTGGAAATAATCCCAGATGTAAAGGAGGAGGATGGAAGATATCACTCCTTAAGATATCACTATAAATTAGATATAGATATCAGGAAGATATCACTCCGTGTAGATATTACTGATTTTAGATGCTAATATATATATATATATATATATATATATATATATATATATATATATATATATATATATATATATATATATATATATATATATATTATATAAGAGCAACGCTGATAATTAATTCGAGGTTTAGACTATAATTAGTACCATCTGGTGATCACTAATGATTAATTGGTCAGCGCTAATTATTGCAATTACGTCAGCGCTAATAATTCACCATCTCAAAGGGCCATAGCGCCAATTACGATCACTCTGTTAATTGGCGGATTATTGCAATTTCAGGATCGGCGATCGTTAATGTTTGAAGATCAATACAAACTTGATTGATGTATTGACCCCTAGTTACAGGGCTAGAGGTACGGTCACCAGGTCAGCGCTGATCACCAGTTGTGAATAATTTCGCGTATTTGCGTCCTGCGTCACTAGTTATTCCGTTATAAACTGTTGCGTCACTGCTTATTGCGACATCGAGGGGACTGGTTATTGCGTAATTTAGTTATTGCTTTTTTTTCAGATGTTGCGTCACTCAGTTGCATCCTCGGCGTGTGTTTCAACTGATTGTTGCGTCGCCAGCTATTGTAGCGACGGTTGAGGCGTCGCCAGCTATTGTAGCGACGGTTGAGGCGTCGCCAGCTATTGTAGCGACGGTTGAGGCGTCGCCAGCTATTGTAGCGACGGTTGAGGCGTCGCCAGCTATTGTAGCGACGGTTGAGGCGTCGCCAGCTATTGTAGCGACGGTTGAGGCGTCGCCAGCTATTGTAGCGACGGCTGTTGTGTCGCCAGCTATTGTAGCGACGGCTGTTGTTTCGCCAGCTATTGTAGCGACGGCTGTTGTGTCGCCAGCTATTGTAGCGACGGTTGAGGCGTCGCCAGCTATTGTAGCGACGGTTGAGGCGTCGCTAGCTATTGTAGCGACGGTTGAGGCGTCGCCAGCTATTGTAGCGACGGTTGAGGCGTCGCCAGCTATTGTAGCGACGGCTGAGGCGTCGCCAGCTATTGTAGCGACGGCTGAGGCGTCGCCAGCTATTGTAGCGACGGCTGAGGCGTCGCCAGCTATTGTAGCGACGGCTGAGGCGTCGCTAGCTATTGCAGCGACGGTTGAGGCGTCGCCAGATATTGTAGCGACGGTTGAGGCGTCGCCAGCTATTGTAGCGACGGTTGAGGCGTCGCCAGCTATTGTAGCGACGGCTGAGGCGTCGCTAGCTATTGTAGCGACGGTTGAGGCGTCGCCAGCTATTGTAGCGACGGCTGAGGCGTCGCTAGCTATTGTAGCGACGGCTGAGGCGTCGCTAGCTATTGTAGCGACGGTTGAGGCGTCGCCAGCTATTGCAGCGACGGTTGAGACGTCGCCAGCTATTGTAGCGACGGTTGAGGCGTCGCCAGCTATTGTGGTGTCGGCTATTGCGTCGCCAGCTATTGTGGTGTCGGCTATTGCGTCGCCAGCTATTGTAGCGACGGCTGTTTTGTCGCCAGCTATTGTAGCGATGGCTGAGGCGTCGCCAGCTATTGTAGCGACGGCTGAGGCGTCGCCAGCTATTGTAGCGACGGCTGTTGTGTCGCCAGCTATTGTAGCGACGGCTGTTGTTTCGCCAGCTATTGTAGCGACGGCTGTTGTGTCGCCAGCTATTGTAGCGACGGTTGTTGTGTCGCCAGCTATTGTAGCGACGGCTGTTGTGTCGCCAGCTATTGTAGCGACGGCTGTTGTGTCGTCAGCTATTGTAGCGACGGCTGAGGCGTCGCCAGCTATTGTAGCGTCGCCAGCTATTGTAGCGACGGCTGAGGCGTCGCCAGCTATTGTAGCGACGACTGTTGCGTCGCCAGCTATTGTAGCGACGGCTGAGGCGTCGCCAGCTATTGTAGCGACGGCTGAGGCGTCGCCAGCTACTGTAGCGACGGCTGTTGCGTCGCCAGCTATTGTAGCGACGGCTGTTGCGTCGCCAGCTATTGTAGCGACGGCTGTTGTGTCGCCAGCTATTGTAGCGACGGCTGTTGTGTCGCCAGCTATTGTAGCGACGACTGTTGCGTCGCCAGCTATTGTAGCGTCGCCAGCTATTGTAGCGACGGCTGAGGCGTCGCCAGCTATTGTAGCGACGGCTGAGGCGTCGCCAGCTATTGTAGCGACGGTTGAGGCGTCGCCAGCTATTGTAGCGACGGCTGTTGTGTCGCCAGCTATTGTAGCGACGGCTGTTGTTTCGCCAGCTATTGTAGCGACGGCTGTTGAGTCGCCAGCTATTGTAGCGACGGTTGAGGCGTCGCCAGCTATTGTAGCGACGGTTGAGGCGTCGCTAGCTATTGTAGCGACGGTTGAGGCGTCGCCAGCTATTGTAGCGACGGTTGAGGCGTCGCCAGCTATTGTAGCGACGGCTGAGGCGTCGCCAGCTATTGTAGCGACGGCTGAGGCGTCGCCAGCTATTGTAGCGACGGCTGAGGCGTCGCCAGCTATTGTAGCGACGGCTGAGGCGTCGCTAGCTATTGGAGCGACGGTTGAGGCGTCGCCAGATATTGTAGCGACGGTTGAGGCGTCGCCAGCTATTGTAGCGACGGTTGAGGCGTCGCCAGCTATTGTAGCGACGGCTGAGGCGTCGCTAGCTATTGTAGCGACGGTTGAGGCGTCGCCAGCTATTGTAGCGACGGCTGAGGCGTCGCTAGCTATTGTAGCGACGGCTGAGGCGTCGCTAGCTATTGTAGCGACGGTTGAGGCGTCGCCAGCTATTGCAGCGACGGTTGAGACGTCGCCAGCTATTGTAGCGACGGTTGAGGCGTCGCCAGCTATTGTGGTGTCGGCTATTGCGTCGCCAGCTATTGTGGTGTCGGCTATTGCGTCGCCAGCTATTGTAGCGACGGCTGTTTTGTCGCCAGCTATTGTAGCGATGGCTGAGGCGTCGCCAGCTATTGTAGCGACGGCTGAGGCGTCGCCAGCTATTGTAGCGACGGCTGTTGTGTCGCCAGCTATTGTAGCGACGGCTGTTGTTTCGCCAGCTATTGTAGCGACGGCTGTTGTGTCGCCAGCTATTGTAGCGACGGTTGTGTCGCCAGCTATTGTAGCGACGGCTGTTGTGTCGCCAGCTATTGTAGCGACGGCTGTTGTGTCGTCAGCTATTGTAGCGACGGCTGAGGCGTCGCCAGCTATTGTAGCGACGCCAGCTATTGTAGCGACGGCTGAGGCGTCGCCAGCTATTGTAGCGACGACTGTTGCGTCGCCAGCTATTGTAGCGACGGCTGAGGCGTCGCCAGCTATTGTAGCGACGGCTGAGGCGTCGCCAGCTGCTGTAGCGACGGCTGTTGCGTCGCCAGCTATTGTAGCGACGGCTGAGGCGTCGCCAGCTATTGTAGCGACGGCTGTTGTGTCGCCAGCTATTGTAGCGACGGCTGTTGTGTCGCCAGCTATTGTAGCGACGACTGTTGCGTCGCCAGCTATTGTAGCGTCGCCAGCTATTGTAGCGACGGCTGAGGCGTCGCCAGCTATTGTAGCGACGGCTGAGGCGTCGCCAGCTATTGTAGCGACGGCTGTTGTGTCGCCAGCTATTGTAGCGACGGCTGTTGTGTCGCCAGCTATTGTAGCGACGACTGTTGCGTCGCCAGCTATTGTAGCGTCGCCAGCTATTGTAGCGACGGCTGAGGCGTCGCCAGCTATTGTAGCGACGGCTGTTGTGTCGCCAGCTATTGTAGCGTCGCCAGCTATTGTAGCGACGGCTGTTGTGTCGCCAGCTATTGCAGCGACGGTTGAGGCGTCGCCAGCTACTGTAGCGACGGCTGAGGCGTCGCCAGCTACTGTAGCGACGGCTGAGGCGTCGCCAGGTATTGTAGCGACGACTGTTGCGTCGCCAGGTATTGTAGCGACGACTGTTGCGTCGCCAGCTACTGTAGCGACGACTGTTGCGTCGCCAGGTATTGTAGCGACGGCTGAGGCGTCGCCAGGTATTGTAGCGACGGCTGTAGCGTCGCCAGCTATCGAGCGTCGCCACAGCCGCTAGCGGCTACGCCAACGCGTAACAAAACACCCTCCAACAATACCGTTTATCATTGCTACAAAAATAATCTAAAAACATAAACACGGGACATGCAAATTGCATCGTTCAAATCGCTAATGTGATTGTTCACACGGATGTGATTTAAAGCGGAGAGGCCGGTATATAGAGGTCCGGATGCTGACTATAGAACGGTTCTATAGCGGCACGTATATACGGTTCTATCCGGATCGCTGTGTTCTCTGTTTTCATATCCGGATGCTGACTATAGAACGGTTCTATAGCGGCACGTATATACGGTTCTATCCGGATCGCTGTGTCCTCTGTTTTCATATCCGGATGCTGACTATAGAACGGTTCTATAGCGGCACGTATATACGGTTCTATCCGGATCGCTGTGTTCTCTGTTTTCATATCCGGATGCTGACTATAGAACGGTTCTATAGCGGCACGTATATACGGTTCTATCCGGATCGCTATGTCCTCTGTTGTCATATCCGGATGCTGACTATAGAACGGTTCTATAGCGGCACGTATATACGGTTCTATCCGGATCGCTGTGTCCTCTGTTTTCATATCCGGATGCTGACTATAGAACGGTTCTATAGCGGCACGTATATACGGTTCTATCCGGATCGCTGTGTCCTCTGTTTTCATATCCGGATGCTGACTATAGAACGGTTCTATAGCGGCACGTATATACGGTTCTATCCGGATCGCTGTGTCCTCTGTTGTCATATCCGGATGCTGACTATAGAACGGTTCTATAGCGGCACGTATATACGGTTCTATCCGGATCGCTGTGTCCTCTGTTGTCATATCCGGATGCTGACTATAGAACGGTTCTATAGCGGCACGTATATACGGTTCTATCCGGATCGCTATGTCCTCTGTTTTCATATCCGGATGCTGACTATAGAACGGTTCTATAGCGGCACGTATATACGGTTCTATCCGGATCGCTATGTCCTCTGTTTTCATATCCGGATGCTGACTATAGAACGGTTCTATAGCGGCACGTATATACGGTTCTATCCGGATCGCTGTGTCCTCTGTTGTCATATCCGGATGCTGACTATAGAACGGTTCTATAGCGGCACGTATATACGGTTCTATCCGGATCGCTGTGTCCTCTGTTTTCATATCCGGATGCTGACTATAGAACGGTTCTATAGCGGCACGTATATACGGTTCTATCCGGATCGCTGTGTCCTCTGTTTTCATATCCGGATGCTGACTATAGAACGGTTCTATAGCGGCATGTATATACGGTTCTATCCGGATCGCTGTGTCCTCTGTTGTCATATCCGGATGCTTGCCTATCATCATCCTTCCTCGTCCGTAAACCGGCCGGTCTGAGTCCCTGTGGCTGTCTCGATTGGTCATCCGGATGCGAGTATATCGTCTTTTCGATTATCCGGATACTTATCGATTATCCGGATATCCGCTCAACCGGATATCCCAGTGTCATTTTTCTCATCCGTCTTGTGCTGCTTCGGTCGCTTGAGAATAATTAGTACGGCGCTGGTATTTAGTACGTCGCTGGTATTTAGTACGTCGCTGGTATTTAGTACGTCGCTGGTATTTAGTACGTCGCTGGTATTTAGTACGTCGCTGGTACTTAGTACGTCGCTGGTATTTAGTACGTCGCTGGTGCTTAGTACGTCGCTGGTGCTTAGTACGTCGCTGGTAATTAGTACGTCGCTGGTACTTAGTACGTCGCTGGTATTTAGTACGTCGCTGGTACTTAGTACGTCGCTGGTGCTTAGTACGTCGCTGGTACTTAGTACGTCGCTGGTGCTTAGTACGTCGCTGGTAATTAGTACGTCGCTGGTACTTAGTACGTCGCTGGTATTTAGTACGTCGCTGGTACTTAGTACGTCGCTGGTGCTTAGTACGTCGCTGGTACTTAGTACGTCGCTGGTATTTAGTACGTCGCTGGTGCTTAGTACGTCGCTGGTAATTAGTACGTCGCTGGTACTTAGTACGTCGCTGGTATTTAGTACGTCGCTGGTATTTAGTACGTCAGCGGTACGTCACTGGCTTCAGTCTCTGTTCTGCTTTGTTCACTCGTTCTTGGCTCTTTGTTCACTCTCATTGTTCACTCTTGTTCACTTTCCTCGTACATTCTCTTTGTTTATCCCTTGTTCATTCCTTGTTCACACGTTCACCCTTCCTGTTCACTCTTTGTTCACTCCCTTTGTTCTCGATCACTCTTTGTTCACTCATTATTCACACACTTCGTTCTCACTGTTCACTCTGTTCACTCGTTATTTATAGTAACATCACTCTATTTATTTTGAATTTTGTTGCAATTTTCATGTTTACGTGTTGCGAGGGGGGCGGGGGGGGGGCCGGGGTGGTCCGCCAGGGCTTGGGGGGGGGGAGGGAATAGTGACGTCATGGCCCCTAGGGGAGGGTAGGCAGGGGAACTATGAGGAGAAAGCGCCAGAGCCATTACGACTGTATAGAGGGGGGGGGGAGGAATGGTGCCACAACCACTTGAACAGTCGGGGATTGAGCGCAGGCCTGCAAGACGCTGTAACCGCGAGACGGGGGGAGGGGGGGGAGTGTCACGGTACGGTCACACATCGTATATGACCTCGTCTGGGTCGGTAATTACTCCAGAGGTGCGTAGGTTCACTGGTGATTAGCGCTCAGAGCCTCGTTTACACTCGTTAGGGCAGTTGAGCGAGGTGAATGGGTGCTTGAAGCAGGGCTGGAGGCACTGGTTGAGGCACTAGTAGAGGCACTGGTTGAGGCACGGGTTGAGGCACTAGCAACTGGTCGATCACTGGCAGAGGTTGTGGTCGAGGCAGCGGTCAAGGCACTGGTTGATGAACTGGTTGAGGCACTAGTAGAGGTACTGGTTGAGGCACTGTTGAAGGTACTGGTTGATGCACTGTTCAAGGTACTGCTCAATGTACTGGTCAAGGCACTGCTTGTGGCACTGGTCGAGGCACTGTGGCACTGGTTGTGGCACTGGTCGAGGCACTGGACGGAGCCACAGACACGACCATTCACACCTCAGACTAAAGGGTCACTGCAGTAGTATCAACTGGCTATCTCAAACACCCGACGGCTCGTGCAACAACACCAGCAGCGGCGGCGCCTCCTTCAGCAGCAGCAGCAGCAGCAGCAGCTGCAGCAGCTGCAGCAGCTGCTCCTACCCCTGCGACCAGCTGGCCTACACTGTCCCCACTCGGCTCTGTCCCTGTTTTATAGTCCATTCCATGGGCGACTAACTCCTGTTTCGTGGGCCACTAACTCTTATTCTTCACTTGTGGCGGCCAAATGCAAAATTACACGATGAACTAAGCTGGGCATGAAGCGGGAGCTCCAGTGCACCGAGGCAAGCCTAGCCACGGAGGCAGTAGACGGTGAGAGGAACCCACTCAACCAGTTGAAAGGGGGGGTAGGCAAGGAGGGGGGGGGGCTTAAACCCACCCACCCTCGCTTACCCACCCACCTACTCTCCCTTAGAAACTATATATACCCCTCTTCCCCCACTGTCTCCACCCCTATTTCGAGGACCTATCGCAATTGGGTGAGGTATCGCTAGATGAAGCCTTTGGAAGTTGAGATAATAAAGATGGCAGTAGCCGGCGCTGGGTGAGAGATGTGTAGAGTCAGGGCTGTGTAAAATGGAATGGTTTGCTGGGACGACTGAGGGCCAAAGCTCCCTTGCCTGTTCCACTTGAGAGGCGAGGTGGCCAGCCAGCCGGCAGCTGCCTCAAGCCACCCATCGCTCGAGAAAATGAGAGAGAGAGAGAGGAAGAGAGAGAGAGAGAGAGAGAGAGGAAGAGAGAGAGAGAGGAGGCAGTATAGCTGAGGGAGGGAGAGAACTCTCTTGACTTACTAATTACTTTGAAATATCTTTGATGTCGCTGTAGAATGTCGACAGTTATTCACGTGGAAAATGTTCGCTTCGTTAAAATATATTTCTAAATATATATATATATATATATTTTGCTTTTCATGGGTGGATTTCGGACGGTGGATTGTGTATTGTATGGCCGGAGAAGCTTTGCCTTTCATTCACATCCACCAACAAGCGGCCACAAACGAACGATATTTGGCTTTGAAAATAACTACCTGTGAGTCGTTAATGTCGCCTTGTGTTTGATGGATGTCGCGTGGAGGGCGGAGGAGGCCCCCCCAGGTGGTGGAGGGCCCCCCCCCCAGGTGGTGGAGGGCCCCCCCCCCCCAGGTGGTGGAGTCACACACACATGCACATGTGCTGACTTCCTCAACCCGGCCAGGTATATAAAAAGCACACACACCTGACATGACTAATCCCACACATGTCGCCGATATGACCAACAAAAGCAGTGTTGAGACAAAAGGACACAAAACCTCTCCTGCAACTTACAAATACACACACACACACACACACACACACACACACACACACACACACACACACACACACACACACACACACACACACACACACACACACACACACACACACAGTATATTATGTACATCACGACTAAACACTATATACTTTAAGAGGTATCAATATGTACTTTAAGAATTACAGTACATACATATAGCACTATACACACTATACTCTTCAGGATAAAGAAGACAAAAAATGATTTCAAACCACTATACAACAGGATTTTGATCAATCATTAAATATATATATGAATTCACCTTGTGTATTAAGTAGTGTGTGTGTGTGTATATTTGAAGTGTATGATGAGTGTATACCAACACGTGAGTATATCTGAAGTGTTTATCTAGTGTTTATGAAGTACACCAGTTTCACCATTTTAATTTCCGTTGATAAACATTAAAAATTGAGATTTTGACTAGTAGAAAAATAAAAAAAAACTAAATAATAAAAATAGTATTTAGACAATAAAAATAATAATAAAATACCTTATTAATAATATAAAGAGTATTAGTAATTAAAGGATGAATAATAATAATAAGGAGGAGGCTCTGGGCCTGGCGGGGATTTGTCAAAGTAGTTGGGCAAGGATAAACTTTGATTTTAGTTCGACAATAAAACTTCATAAACTTTGGTGTTTAACTCCTGGAATACTTTGGTCATAACTCACAGCTAGTTTGGTTGTTTAGATCTGAAGTTCAGCCCCTGCCCCTGCCCCCTCTCTCTCTCTCTCTCTCTCTCTCTCTCTCTCTCTCTCTCTCTCTCTCTCTCTGTCTCTCTCTCTGTCTCTATCTCTCTCTCTCTCTCTCTCTCTCTCTCTCTCTCTCTCTCTCTCTCTATCTCTCTCTCTCTCTATCTCTCTCTCTCTCTATCTCTCTCTCTCTATCTCTCTCTCTCTCTCTCTATCTCTCTCTCTCTCTCTCTCTCTCTCTCTCTCTCTCTCTCTCTCTCTCTCTCTCTCTCTCTCTCTCTCTCTCTCTCTCTCTCTCTCTCTCTCTCTCTCTCTCTCTCTCTCTCTCTCTCTCTCTCTCTCTCTCTCTCTTTCTCCCCTTCCACCTCTCCTTCCCCCTCTTTCTTTCCCCCTACCCTTCTCTTCCCCTCGTCTTCATTACCTTGCCACTTTCTTCCCCTTCTCCCTACGCCTTTTCTCCCCCTCCCCTCCCTCTTCATGGACGGAGGAGCGACGGTCTCGCTTCATGCAGGTCGGCGTTCAATCCCCGACCGTCCAAGCGGTTGAGCCCCATTCCTTCCCCCCGTCCCATCCCTTACAGCCCAAACGTCATGATTTTCAGAGGCCCGTGGCCTCTGGGGTATTCCCAGAACCCTTGTGGGCCTGGAATCGAGTAATTTTATATCAAAATAGAGAATGGGTCTCGTGTCATGGGAAACGCAATAAGACTGAACGTAGTAGCTACCGAAATGAAATCAGAAATAACGATCGAGGCGGGGCCCAGGAGATGAAGCCGTCGGGTCCAGTAGACTGTATTTGATGCGTATTTACAGACTGTCCGGATACGGGAAGTGAATGAAGCACTCGTTGTAAAAAGCCTCGAACGAGGTTACCGAATCGATCCCCAACCCCAAATGGAAGCCATGTGGAGTTTGTTTCAACTCCTTTCAATGGTGTTCGAACTTTCAATTCGAACAGATAGACTTATAGAGTTTCGCATTTATTCCCATAGACGGATTCCTCATCGAAGTTTGTGTCAAATACTCTGTATGTGGTGGTTGTATATATATATATATATATATATATATATATATATATATATATATATATATATATATATATATATATATATGTCGTACCTAGTAGCCAGAACTCACTTTTCAGCCTACTATTCAAGGCCCGATTTGCCTAATAAGCCAAGTTTTCCGGAATTAATATATTTACTATAATTTTTTTCTTATGAAATGATAAAGCAACCCTTTTCTCTATGTATGAGGTCAATTTTTTTTTATTGGAGTTAAAATTAACGTAGATATATGACCGAACCTAACCAACCCTACCTAACCTAACCTAACCTATATTTATAGGTAAGGTTAGGTTAGGTAGCCAAAAAAAGCTAGGTTAGGTTAGGTTAGGTAGGTTAGGTAGACGAAAAAACATTAATTCATGAAAACTTGGCTTATTAGGCAAATCGGGCCTTGAATAGTAGGCTGAGAAGTGCGTTCTGGCTATTAGGTACGACATATATATATATATATATATATATATATATATATATATATATATATATATATATATATATATATATATATATATATAAATTTTATATAGAGAAAAAGCAAACCAAAGCTAAACCAAGCCTCGAGAATATCATTTTTTTTTATATTTTTCAAAGGACATTTAGTATTTAATTAGGACTTTCCGTAACACAAACAGCTCGCTAATTGGGCTCGTTCCCTTGAGTTGTCTCGGTCTATAAATTAACTAATAAACAGGACCCGCCTTTCTTAACTGTTGCTATAAGAGTCTAGCCGGAGAATATAAGGTATATAAGGTATAGAAATATATAATATATATATATACCTTATAAGAATATAAGGTATAAATAAAGGTATAAAAGTGTTGCAGGTGTAGATTTGTTGCAGGTGAAGATGTGTT